TATATATATAAAGTAGAAATAAGATCTGTTTTGGCACCGTGTTCTAGTTTACTTTCTGTTGCTGTGATAGACATCATGGCCATACACGTGGGAGAGAAAGGGTTCATTTGGCTCACATTCCCACATCACCATCCATTGTGGACTCACACAGGAACCCAGAGGTAGGAACTGGAGCAGAAGCCATGGAGGAAGCCAGCTTGCCCGCATGGCTGCCCATCCCGCTTTCTTATGTAATCTGGGATCACCTGCTGGGGAGGGGTTGGGGGTGGTGCCACTCCCAGCGAGCTGAGCTCTCCCACATCAATTGCTAATGCCTCACAGGTTTGCTTCCAAGCCTACGTGATAGAGGGAGTTTCTCATCCGAAGCATCGCTCTTCCTAGATGACCTTAGCTTGTTTCAAGCTGACAAACTCACCAGCAAGCATGAGCTTTGTTAAAATGTTGTTACGTCTTATCTCTAAATTCTGGGTTGTCTTCAGCCTTTTCATTTGGTTTTTTGTTTGTTTGTTTTGTTTTGCTGTTTTATTCATTACACAAAATAATGGATTTTATAATGCTATTTTCATACCTATATGTGTCTCATTGTGTTTTGGTCATGTCTGTACCCCATTACCCTCTCTTGACTCCCCCTCTTACTGGTCCCCTCTTATTCCCAAACGATCCTTCCATGCCATATATATTTATCTGTGTAGCTAAGTCTCGATTCCATCCACAAGACAAAACATGCACTACTGGCTTCCCCTCTTCCCTCTTTCCCGTTAGTCCCCTTTCTCCTCACAGACAGCTCCCCTTGATTTTCATGAACATTTACTTATCTGTTTAAATCTAGAATTTTACATTAGCGAAAGCCTATGGTATTTGTCTTTTTGGTCTGGCTTAGTTCACTTAACGCGGCCTCCAGTTCCAGTCATGTCTCCTGTGTCCCTGAAAGTTAGTTTGTTCTTCTGTATAAGTAGTTAAAACTCCATTGTGTATTTATACCACATTTTAAATCTATACATATGTAGATTAATATCTGACCAAGTTTTCTGTACCTGTGAGTTTGACACAGTCCAGAGTCATCTGAGTGAGCCTCAGTTGGAGAGTTGCCTACATCAGACTGTCTGATCTAGGAGATTACCTAGAGATTATCTCGATTTGGAATAATTTGGAATGCATTTGATGCAGGCACTGTACCAACTGGGCTATCTTCGAGTTCTACAGTGGCTACAGTAATTTGCATCCCCACAAGAAGCTTATGAGGGTCTTCCTCCAAATCCCGCTGCATCTTCTCCAGCACTCCCTCAATCCCTCGCCACAGCCTTTCTGACCAGGGGAGGTGGAGTCCCAGCGTGGAGAAGACTTGCCTTTCCCTGATGACTAAGAATGTTGACCACTTTTTTGTTTACTTCTTTCTGCAATTTGGGTTTCTTTTGTGAAATGTCTATCCAGTTCTTTTGTCCATTTATTGATTAGAGGATTTGCTTTGTCGGTGCTTAATTTTATGATTCTTCATATATTCTATGTGTTAACCCCTTGTCAGGTGTATAGCTGGTCAATTTCTTTCTCCATTCCGCATGCTGTGTCTTCACTCTCTTGTTTCCTTTGCCTTACAGAAGCATCTTAATTTCATGGAATCCCGTCTGTCAAGTCTTGCTCATACTCCTGGAGCTACTGATTCCGCCCCCCACCCCGCCCGCCAAGAAAGCTCTTGCTTATGCCTAGATCATGATGGAGCTTCCCTGCTTTCTCTAGTTGTTTCAAAGTTTCATGTTTTGTATTCCGTAAGGACTTGGATCTATTCTGAATTGTTTCTTTTTTTTTTTTTAAACAAGGCGAGAGATGCATATGTGGTTTCGTTCTGCATATGGATATCTAGTTTTCCCAGTTTTGTTTGTTAAAGAGGCTGTCTATGCGCCAATGTTTGTTTGGACCAATTTGTCAAAAATTGCATGTCTGTAGCTTCACGAGTTTATTTCCAGACCCTCTATTTTATGAGGTTGGTCTACATGTCTGTTTCTATACCTTTATTACACTGTTTTGTTGCTTGGGCTGTATAGCATAATTTAAAACAAGCAGATATAGCAATATCCTCACAATTGTTCTTTCTGTTCCTGCATTTTAGTAAACAATTTGGATTGAAACAGTGATTTGACTGGGGATTTAAGATAACCCCTTAAATTCTTGACCAATTTGTTGTGTTTTGTTTAGTTTGAGTTTTTTTTTTTTTTTTTTTTTTTTTTAATAGGGCCTCACTATGGAGTCTTGGCTAGGTGAGACTCACTATGTAGACCAGGCTGGTCTCAAACTTACAGAGATCTACTTGCTTCTGCTTCTTGAATTCTGGGATTGAGGGTTTAATCACCACACCCAGCACCAGTGAGCTTTCAGCTCAGCATTCTCTGCCTTTCAATTAGCAAGGCAACTGTGCAGTTAGATACAGGAGATGCCAATCAAAGCAAGAGTATCATGGGAAATATTTCTGTCATTATCTATGATTTGCTGCCCTAAAGTCTTATCCTGTCTTTATTGAAGTATTAAGGCTTAGCTCTGCTGTGAAGAGGATTTTGTTTGATAGGATTTTAAAAATGTGTATATGGTGTTTACGAAGAACTCCATGTATACACTCAACAATGTTGGAATTACTTGTTTCCATCAAGATAATTATCACTGAATACCTAGGCTGGCCTGTGGACCCTTTCTTTCCTACGGGACTCAAGATGAAACACTACACTTGTCATTTATATTGGAGCAGTGGTTTACGCATCAGCCTCCCAAACTAAAAGATTTCATCAAGACAAAGTAGGCCACACCCACTTCTTAGTTGTAAGTACCTGATACTCTCCCTAGCATATGGTATATATGTGTTGGAGTTTTAAGAGTCCCTAGAATATGATACATACATGTTGGAGTTTTAGGATTAGGACAAAGAGATAATTCCAAACACAAGTCTAAGTGAGACTTAACATTGCAGTGAGGGGATGTAAAGATTGCTCGGGAGTTAAGATGTCTCTGTTGTTTCTGTAGGGAACCCAAGTTTGGTTCCCAGCACACACATCTGGCAGCTTACAATTGCTTATTCCAGCTCCGGGGCATCTGGCAACTTTTGCCTTCATGGACACTACACTTACATGCACAAACCCAAACACACACACACACACGCATGCACACACTTAAAAAAAATAACTAATCTAAAACTTTAATATCAGATTTCCGAAATGCTGACCGATATGCAACACATCTCTCTACCGGATCTGTTTGGATTGGAGAGGGAAAGTATGGCCTTACCTGTTTTTAATTCACGATGCCTTGTAGAAGGCAAGAGGTCCATTTGCTCACAGACACACGGGAGAACCAGAACTCTTAAACACTCGGGCTTTGTTCTTCAGTGGAAGACACTGATGCCTGCTCACCTGGACGGGTGGAGTGGACGCTGTCTGACCGCTTAGTGATCGGCCTATGGAGCCAGCCTTCACCTGCACCCCAGGATCCTGAACATTGTTTCTCAGGCAACAGAATCCATCCTTACACTTATTGCAAACCTGTCCTCCCTCGCCCCTTATCCTGACAGCTCTTGCAGTCGAGAGAACCCACTTGTGTGGAAAAGGACACAGGGATCTTTCTAAAGAGATGTGCTTTGCAAAGGCGTTTGAATGTAGCCATGCCGAAAGCTTTGTTGTGAAAATTGTCATGAGGAAACTTTCTCCAAAGTTTGGTGTTTGAATATGCAAAAAATTACCTGCTTGGCATCAGACTCGACATATGAACCAGCGCTAAGTAGGGCTGAACCTGAGTTTCCTTCTTACCTCATTCGGGTTGTTTCCTCATCAGCCATAGTGTCTGCAGGGACTCCTAAAGTGTGTGGAAATTTACACATACTAGTTTCCGAAAATTCTACATCTTTGGAAATGCTGACTCCTAGGAGCTGGTCTGATGTATGAGCATATTTTCCTCTCGCCTGTTTCTTGGAACACAAATTAGTCTCACCTATATATTACTAACATATAAGGCAAGTGCCCTTGGGAAGGGTGACAAACCCCAAGATGGCTTTTGATTTTTAAATCAGTATTGTTCCATTTCCCCCAAATGGCAGGCAGTTCCTACTAGGTTCCTTTGTTCTCTGAAGTCCCAAATGGAGTGGGTTTGGGTGTGCAGCTCCATTGGATGAGTTCAGCCACTGAGGGGGCAGAGAAAGCGTCATCCAGTTTCTGTGAGGCAGGTTAGCTTCCCACACTTCTGCCATTCTCTGGGCCGGAGCCAACTTGAGGGCCCTCTTCACTTATGTGCACCGTGCTGTGGGCAGCACTACCTCTGTTTTGGGAGCCAAGAAATAATGTTCCAGGGATAGTAGTGACTAGCTTAGCTTCAGGACTCCAAGCCAGTTTCTCATGGTAAACTTAGATAATCTTCCTTGTACATCTTACAAAAAACATGGGATGGAATGAAAGAAAACTCCAGATTCTATGTTCCTCGTATATAATCCAAGCACAATATTGACATTTAAAAATCCTGGCCTCTTAATTTTGTCTTTTCCGAAAGCTTAATTAAGTCACGTGGGTGTATGTAATGGACGTTTTCTGACTGGGAGACAGATATTTCAAGCTTTCCTACACAAACAAACTCCCGAGGGGCATTGACTTTTAAAGCGGACAATGGGCTTCACTCTTTCACTGATAATTTAAGATAATTTAAGTCCTTTTTTTTTTTTCTAGTAGCCAGCTGCCCCAGGGTGAAGATAACTAGTAGATGTTATTTCTTAGTTTCTGGATTAATCCTCTGAAATGTGAATAATCTAATTGGACTTTCGATAGCATTCAAACTAATTGCCAAGTCTTTGCTCTAAGGTCTAAGATCAATACTCAAATTACAATGCTCGGTAGAATTAGGAACACAGCAAAACCTGCTGAAAGTGTTTGCTTTGTTTTTTTTTTAATTTAATTTTAAGGTGGAAGTATGAATCTAACAGATACCCTATGCCACCCAAAGAAACCCTAGAAGTTCCATATATATATATATATATATATATATGATGTGGGAGTGTCATATATCAATCTGTTGATTTCATTGGCTGAGCAATAAAAGAAACTGCTTGGCTGGCCCTCAGCTTAGAACATAGATGGGAGGAATAAACAGAATAGAATTCTGGGCGGAAGAGGAAGTGAGGACAGACTCTGCTCTGCTCCCGGAGAGACTCTGCTCTCCGGATCACAGACGCCATGCTCAGCTCTCCCGGGTAGACGCGATAGCTCTGCTCTCTGAGGCACACGCGATGAAGATGGATGTAGGCTAGAATCTTCCCGGTAAGCTCACCTTGGGGTGCTTACACACATCATTAGAAATGGGCTAGTCCAGGTGCGAGAATTAGCCTGTAAGGGCTAGAGTATGGGCCAAGCAGTTCTTTAAATGAATACAGTTTGTGTGTTGTTATTTCGGGCATAAGCTAGCCAAGCGGCCGGGGTGTTGGGGACGCAGCCCCGCCGCCGCTCCTATTTCAACATATATATATATGTTTTTTTGTGATCCATAGATTCATTTATGTGTTACCTGACCTTTAATGGCATGTGTTATCTGTGACTGGGGTTTTCGCAGCCACCTGCTTAAACTTTATATAATTAGAACAGTGTAGCTCTGGCACAGAAAATCCATTTTAAAAACCTGAGGTGTTTGATGCTTGTGGTCTGTGCTCATCACAGGGACAATCGGGTCCCGCTTCCCTCCGGACTGGGCACAGCAGGCTCATCTCACTGTTCAGAAGGAACCAGGAAGTCACTGGCCTTCTCCTTCCAGCCCTTTGCAGACCAGTGCTCAACTCCAGCACACTGCATTAGTGCCCCTCAAAAGGAAGCCAAAAGCTGGCTTCCTTGTAGGTGTGTGCACTATTTTGAGACATTCCATGCACATGCAGAAAAGCCAATGAAAAGCTTGAAGCCCCAACAAGTCCTGTCATAACTTATCTGCATACCCAGTGTAGAGTTTTGTGACCGGGCCATCCAGGTTTTCTGTTAGTTACCCACATCCCACATTTTGGAGTCAGGAGGCTCGCCTACAGATGCATCTATCATTCTTTCAGAAGTGTGGAAATAAAACTCGTTTCAGTCTTAGCATTTATTTGATATAAAAACTAAATCTTTCCGCTCTTCATTTCCATATTTACAAAACAAGGCAAAAAAAAAAAAAACCTCTCAAGCACTGTTATTATGATATCCTGTGCTAAAGACAGGGTTTCTTTGGGGGAGTGTGTAAGGGATTATTGTAAAAATTATTTTCTTGAGAAACACTTTCCTTTGTACAGAACAAACAGGAAAAGGAACAAAGTGTGGCCTTTAGTTTATTGTATTAGTCTATCATTTCCTTTGAAATGGAAGGCCAGTTTTTTTTTTTTGCGGGCTCAACCTATGAAGGTTGGCTTGGTGCCATTCTTTTTAAAATTTTATTTTGTCTTGCAATCTAAGCCAAAGGCACTTCGGATTTAGGGGTGTTTTGAAATCGAGTATGCAAAGAAGAAAACGAAGCAGGACTTCTCTCCGGGAGGGCCGCTGTGGCTTGAGCAAGGTTCCTTTAGCTCATACCTGGAGCCTCCTTTCTCACATTCTTTGAGTGCCACCGCATCCCTGGTCCCTGGTCCCTGGTGCGGATGCTGCTGCTAAGCCAGCAGAGACTAGCAACAGGAGTCGCGCCTGGCGCCTGTCTGGCCGCTCCCAGTTCGACCCAGTCTGTGTAGGTGGGCGGGAGGGCTGGGGCTGAAGGCTGAAGCGAGGGGGAGAGACTGAATCCAGCAAACATGTTCATTGACTGGAGGCATAGAGCGTCAGCGACCCAGGAGGTAGTGCTCCACTTGATTGTGTGTGTGTGTGTGTGTCCGTCCTTGTCCATCCCTCTTCATCCCTCTCCTCAAGCTGCCCACCCTCTCCCCCTGCCGCGGCGGGAGGGTTGCTTCTTCCATGCTTCCCCTTCCCTGCAAAGTCCCAACTCTGGACCCTTCAGCTTCCTGTCCTGGCTCCATGTGGGAGACTGTATTCTCACCTGGCTTGACCCTCAGCCCCAGAGAGTGCTGCCAGGCCATGGTCCCCTGTCCACTCTGGGCACCCATCTCTGAGGAATGCGCTGGGGGCAATCTACACCCAGAACCTGGGTTGAAGAGGGAAACTTGATCCCAAGATGCGGGTTTCGAAACCCACATTTGAAAGCGACCCTAGCAACCCGCGGGAAAGGCGACTTGTCTGAGGCGAGAGGAGCTCTAGCTTCTGTGAACACCTTCACTAGGTACCCCGCACCGGAAGGTGCGGCCAGGCGCGAGACCGGGGTTGGCCGCTGGGAACCCTGTGGCCACCCAGCCTCTTACCTCGAAAAGCTGAGGAATGTCCCTCCGGGCCAGGTACTCCTTGGCGTCGTTGGTGTTCATGGCTGTACGGCGCGTGCCGTGCCGTGGGGCGCAGGCGGGGAGGCTACCAGAGCTGGGGCTGACGGGGTGCAGCTCTCACTTGGATGCGCGCAGGCCGGGGTCCCCTCGGCAACTCCAGGGCAGCTATGCCGTCCGCGCTCCCGCCGCCCCCGCGTCCGCGCGGGTCCCCCAGTCAGCAGCGAGCAGCCGCTGCTTCCCGGGCACAGGCAGCGCGAGCGCCAGGGGAGGGGCGCGGAGGAGGACCGCGCGGCCGACGCCACCAGCCGCCGCCTCCCGGCTCTGCGCTCTCGGCCCGCGTCTCCCGGAGCCCGCTGCAGCGGCCGCCAGTCACGCTGCGCGGGCGGGCGCGGGGCGCGGGGGTGGGGACACGCGGGTTGCAGTCGCTCCCCAGTCCGCAGCACGGCCGAGGCTCTCGGGAGCCAAGGACCGGGCAATTGAAACCTGCTACATTTTCACTTCTACACACACACACACACACACACACACACACACACACACACACACTACTCTGAGGTACCCGCCCCCCGCCCCCAGGAGCTCTTCCCAGAAAAAAAGAAAAACAACAACAGAAAAACACACAAGTAGAGATTTCATCGTATATTCTTAAAGTTAATGATCTTTCAATGATGGGGGAGTTAGGAGTGGGAGAGGGGTTTCCGTATCAGTCGTTTTAAGTGTCGTTAAGAAAAGTTTGTCTAGCTGGTTTCACATTTCCTTAAACATTTGAGTAGGAGGCCTGAAATCATTAGGAGAAGAATTAGGGAGTAGCCAAAGAATCACTTCTGCTCGGAGAAGCCTGCTTTAAACTGTGGTCACTGGCCCTATCGGAACCTCCCACGAGGAGATGTCCAGTGAGGCGGACTGGTGCCTACCCAAGGTGGTGGGTCTGTCCGTTGAAGATCGCTCTCCACCAAGGTGCGCCCATCCTCCCCAGCTTCCAAGATGCCTCTGAGAGATGCTCTGAGCTTCCCCAGGATGTGGTCTCTAATGCTTGCAAGAGCCCACTCTGCAGGAGGGTATGTGGCAGAAAGGAAGGAGAAGCTACAGACTGCTGGCGTCTGGGATTTGGTAGAAAGCCACACTTTAAATACTTCAAGTTCAAAAACTCACTGCCTGAATGTCTGTTTCAAGTTCATCTTAAAAGAGCTTTTCTTGGTCCTGTTTCTTGTCACACAAGCCACCGCTGCTCATGCCTGAGAATGGCTGCAGTTTTATTTGATGAGAGGAATGGAATTCAAAAGTTAATTAGCCCAGTTTGTGAGCTAAGCGAAATGTGTGGACGCTTGGGAAGCCCTGTGCCATAACAATGAGTCCTGTGGTAGTCTTGATAGAGGCAGGTATTCAGTTCTGAGTTACATGGGGTCCTCTGTGAGAACAGGTCTCCATGTATGTTACTCTAGCTTATTCGACAGCAGGCTTTGGAAGGACACAAAGTCTCCTCTGTTCTGGGCAGTGGTTGCCACAGTCCTTGGAAAATTATAGGGCCCAGTGGCCTAGGGAATGTTGAAGCACACAGGACTGAAAAGGTCAGTTCCTATAGGTCTTCTCCAGGTCATTCTTTCCTTGATTTTGTTGTCATTGTTATGGTTTTTGTTGTTTTAAGGTGGTCCGTGATTCTTAGGGTCTTTAGAAAACCCAGCAAATGACAGCAGCACCATCCCGCATCCCCCTTGTAAAAGGAGGTCAGATAAGAAACACTGTAGTTAGCTTGAGAAAAGATGTAGCAAGTTTTCACTGGCCTTAGAGAGTGACAGTGTGCTTTTGGGTGTATCCTAGGGTAGAGAGGTTTATGAGGGCCAGATGCTCCACCATTCCTATTGCAGAGTGAGGCCTCCTGGGGGAAGGACTTGTGAAGAAACTCCAGTGGTTAGAATCTAGGCTGCTGGCTCGGAAGAGGAGAGCACGAAGGGACAAGATCATAAGGTGATCCTTGCCTGTCTAAGCTGTCTTACCAGCTCCCTGACAGGATTTGAAGGCTAGGTACAGGAAGAGCCTGACGCCCCATACACGGGCAGATGCAACCATACAAGCTCTAGCAGACTACAATTTACTCCATGCCTGCTATATTTTTTTTAACAATTTGCACATCATGACGTTTTCCCACATTATATTCAGATAAAAATCTAAGGGCCATGACCAAATAAGTTTAAATAAACTGTTTGCTTTTGTTTTACATTTAATGCAAACGAATTGTTCCCGTCCTCTTCAAAATCTTTGATTTGACTTTAACTTTTTGGAGTATAATATTCAAGAATGGTTAAAACTTTGAAGATATAAGGAAAAACGTTAATTAAATTCTCTCTTGTGTCTGATCTTGGGAGATTGAGTTAGTTCTGAGCTATGGCAGTAACTACACCATCTCCTGCCGGCAAGGAGCCGCTTTTCCACTGGAGAACGTCTGTGATAAGTGTGACTGGGCCAGCTCAGCGCCGACAACCCTGCCAACCTGAGTCTGTTCCCCAGGACATGCTCAGAAGGGGAGAACCAGTTCCCCAAATCTGTCCTCTGATCTTCACACAGGTGCTGTGGTGTTGTGGCACTCACCCATCCACCTACACTCATGCCCAAATAAATAAATAAAATGTAATAATAATAGGCAGGTGAAGCAGTGCATTGTGGGGGGAGCAAATAAAATGGGCCCACAACATCGGACCGTGATGAGCGAAAAACAGATAAACCACAGAGACAGAAGGAAAACACGTACACGAGCAAGACTATATCAGCGGCAAGTGTGATAGGAAGAAACCAAAGCTAACTACCTTGATTGGAAGCAAAGGGGGCGTGTCCAGATCTGCCCCGTGGAAGGGGCAGAGGAAGTGGACTGTAGATAATCACAAGACCGTGACTCGGACTTTCAAAGGGCCAGGGATGTTGGAGGAGGAAGGAGCTTCGGGAGGGATTTTTATCTGAGTCATCCTCAAGGAGCCTACTCCTGCTGACACACAGCCAGCTGGGTCCTGCTCCTCCAGTGGCTGGGGTTGAGGACCACTCGCCCATGCTCACATGGGTGGTCTGTGAACCTTCTGCTCACACCACTCGACCCTAGACAGCAGGAGCCTACACTCAGCCCTCAGTTACTCCTGGCAGGCACGTCTGTCATCTGTCACCTAACTGTGGTCAGGTGAGCATGGAAGACGTGAGCAATCATGCAGAAACATTTCTGCAGAAGGGTCTGGCTAGTGGGGTGGAGTATAACGGAGGGCAATGGGAGGCAGGAGCAAAGTAAGGTATATATGATTATGTATGAAATTTTGAAAAGCACTTGTAGGAGAATAGGAATCTCTCCTGATAATATTTAAAGGAATAAAAAGAGGACATTTTCCATGTTGAAGTTAGCCCTCCCCGTCATGGGAGCTGAGTGTCACGGCAGGGGCTAGTCTACTTGATGGTGCTGTTACAAGGACAACTTTGGCCATAATGTGTATAATCGATTGTTTGTTATATGTTGGCATTGTGCTAAGAACATCACAAAGTATACAGTGAGACATACTTGTGCATGTCATTTCCTGAAAGGCATACACTATCTTCATCATGGTAACGCGCTCACCAGAAGTCAGAAAGCCGCTTCCAAAGCTGTGTAATGGCAAATGTCAGGTGGTTACAGCCTGGTGTTGTATGGTCCTTCCCTCAGCAGTCCTTGTCTGCAATGACTTCCTTTTGCCTCTCTGCTGCCTCCCCCCTCCCGTGTGCATGTGCATGTGTGCGCGCATGTGTGCATGTGCGTGTGTATGTGTGTGTGCATGTGTGTGTGTGCATGTGCATGTGCGTGCATGTGTGCGTGCATGTGTGCATGTGCGTGTGTGTATCTGTGTGCATGCTTGTGCGTGAGTGTGCGTGTGTGCATGTGCATGTGTGCATATGTGTGTATGTGTGTGTGCATGTATGTGCATGCATGCGTGTGCGTGCATGTGTGTATGTTTGTGTACTTGGGCGTACATGCACATTTATGTGGAGGCTAGAAGTTGACTTCAGGTGTCTTCTGTCATCATTCTCTGCCTTCTTTTCTGAGACTGCATTCCTTCCTCACCAACCTAGAACTCGCCATCTGTTTAGACAGGCAGGCCGGAGAGCCAGCTCTGGGATCCTCCTGTCTCTGCCTCCGCAGCCCTGGTATTGCAGGCATAGTCCACTCATCATGGCCAGCTTTCCCAGGCCCCACATGTACTGGGGAGGACTCAGGGCATCCTCCCCTTCCCCACTACCAGTGTTTTCTAGTGACCTTTCCTTCTTTCTTTTCTGTTTTGTATCGGTGTGTGTGTGTGTGTGTGTGTGTGTGTGTGTGTGTGTATAAAACAAACTTACACCGTGGATTTTTCTAGCTGTTCAAAGTTCTTCCCTGCTTGAGATGTCTGTGGCTCCAGAGATTGTGTAGGAAGCTTATCATTAAACGTTTGAGTGTTGAATTTCTCGTGTGTAGCACAGAAAACTTCTGTCTTCTAATCGTTCTGTTTCCTTCACTAATTTACAGCCTATTGGACCATTAGGTCTGTGAGAAATTTGCCTAGAATACATAACTAAATTTGTAAGACCTGTTTCCACATTTTTGCATACACTGGCTTGATAAGTATGCCTCTGGTTTACAAGCCCTTTTCGGGGGCTCTTCCTGAGGCTTCGACTTTTGTGGTAGTTGTGATGTATGCATTAGTCTCTTACATCTGGGATGAACACAGGGTGTTGTAACTGTGTGTAACACAAATCTCCAGCCAAAGAGAAATTTCCCCATGTCCCCTTTCTAACCATTTACACATTTACATTCTAGATTCCAAAGACCACCAGGAATTCATGGGTTAGGATTTAAAAGACTGGAAATTCTCACAGTGTCTGAAAGAATTAAGAACAATTCCAAGTTGAATGATTTCAATCTGGCACCAAAAAAAAAAAAAAAAAAAAAGGCTATGGTTTCAGAGGCCCTTACATGATGGTCTCGTTGATTGATTGTTGATGCAGAGTACATTCCTTGAGCCAATGTTTATGAATAACCGTCTACATTTCAACCCATATTTAGAGCTAGAAATACAAAGGGCAAGACACAAGGAATTCAATGTCTAGTAGAAAGAGAGAAATGGGTTCCAGTTAGGTTTACAGAAATTCCACATTTTAGTGGTGGGATAGAAGCAGACATGTGAAGGAGATTTATGGTGGGGAGACACAAAGTGCAAGGATCGCATACACCGGGGCTGAAGAGATGGCTCAATGGTTAAGATCACTGACTGCTCTTCCAGAGGATCCAAGTT